ATACATAAATTAAACTCTGCTGCCCATATCATCACCAGAACCCCTTCTATTAATCACATTACTCCTGTCCTTCAGCAGCTTCATTGGCTTCCAGTTAAATACCGCATTGATTTCAAAACTCCGCTCCTGACCTTCAAGGCCATTCATAACCTCACTCCTCTGAACCTCACTGACCTCCTTCATATTAACACACCCACCCATACCCACTTCTTCTTCTTATAACCTCACTGTACCTCCTGCTCGTTTGACCACCATGGGGTCCAGAGCCTTCAGCTGCTCTGCCCCTCGTCTCTGGAACTCTCTTCCACCAGACATCCGCAACATTGACTCACTTTACATTTTTAAATCCCGCCTGAAAACACATCTTTTTAAATTGGCATATCCCACGTGATCACTCTTTCTCAATCTTTGTTTCCAGTTGTTTTAATTTTATCGATTATTGCTGTACTGTTTTATTATGTTTTGTGAGGTGACCTTGAGTGTTCAGAAAGGCGCCTATAAATAAAATGTATTATTATTGTTATTATTATTAAGGACATAATGTAGAATTTGCCGGCTTTCTCCATTGCCACATAGGGAACACAGGAAGTGACATTTCATAGCTGTGTCGGCTGACGTGCACCGCACCATACCCCGATGCGCATCAGGGTGCAAGTGCCGTTCCAACGCTGCTTGTAGCATTTATATTAAATTTGATTTTGAATTTATTAGGAACTTGACACTGATTGAGACTGACCCAACCAATACCAATATGTAAAACCACACGTCAATCTACACTAACAGATAAACATTTACTCAATCTGCCAATACCTAATCTATTGTTTTAAATACTCTTATTTTGGCAGGTGAATCTACAATATCTTAGTTTTGGATAAAGGATGCTCGTCTTTGTTGTAGTCCATTATTTGATTTACGTTTCCACATTGAAATTCCTTTGACTCCTCAGAGATTTCACACCGTTCTTTCTCTACTCAGGACTGGACCCAGCTGAACCTTACTTCCAGGACACTGATGCCTCTGTGCGTCTGGACACCAGCGACGCCACCTTTGTGGATGTCATTCACAGTGATGGACTTCCTTTCAAATCCAAACTTGGTAGATATCACTGTTGATCACAATAAATGAGATTGAAGTAAGAGATAATGTCTTCATTGCACTTTCAAAAACTCTTGTCCAAATGAGTTGTACACTTTACCTATAAGTAGTATTCGTTTAAGTATGTGACAACCCTTGATGGAAAAAAATGAACCATTTGCATGGTATTTTTTAATGTTGCCTAATTGAGTTTGGAACTCAGGAGGAATTTTGGTCAAATTTGAAAGAATCTGATGTCTCTATGCGAAAAGTGAATTTTGTTTCCATCCTTTCAGGTCTGGGGATATCACAATCTGTGGGCCACATTGACTTCTACCCCAATGGAGGAGAGCTGATGCCCGGCTGCTCCGCCAACAAAGGGAATCCTACTAACCTGGATGCCTACTGGGAGGGTGTGGAAACGCAATGATCACAATGACGATTTTGGTGTAGTCACATTTATTTTGCCAAACAAATACTGCAGCTGTTCACACTCAGTCAAGTTGGCTATTTGGCTTTCTTTGCATTGTTGTGTGTAGTTGTCAATGCTGGTTTAAAAAACACACATAGGCTACTGCCAGAATTCTGACAATTAGAACAACTAAGAACATTCTGTCATTCTCCCCCGTAGGGCTGCAACTAAAGATTATTTTCCCGATTTAACGATTAGTCTATAAAATGTCAGAAAAAGGTGAACATTTTTGTTCAGTGTTTCCCATAGCCTAAGATGACATCATTAAATGTCTTGTTTTGTCCACAACCCAAAGATATTCAGTTTACTGAGGAAAGAAACCAGAAAATATTTAAATTTAAGAAGCTGGAATTAAATAATTAGACTTTAAAAAATGACCTACAAACTGATCAATCAAAAAAATGACCTACAAACTGATCAATCAATTATTAATCAAGAAAACTGGAGGTTAATTTAATGGTCGACAACCAGTGGGCAAGTTACTCATGAATTGTAAAAAGTTACTTTTTAACTAATACTCATATTCATAACAGCAGCAAGCAGAATGTTTTTTACAAATCATATATTGTTTCTTAACGCCACTTGCTGAGATAAACTGTGACACAATAATGGTGATACCTACAGCTGTCGAAAGAACACCTTCATCTCCATTCTTCATTTAGCTTTATGGCTAACAGCTGACTCAAGTTCCAGTGCCGCTGACCTGCGTCAGGATGGTGCATTCAGTAACGCAGTAACATAGCGTTACTTGGATTAGTAACTGTAATAATATTACGGTTTTGGAAATAGTAATCCGTTACACTACTAGTTACTGGGAAAAGTAATATTACCGCTATTACAGTAACCCGTTACTGAGTAACAGTTTAGATTATTTGTTGGCAGTGTCAACTGGTATAACTAATTATTTGATTAAAGGGGCTATATATAGTTTTTCAATGAAATTACTTATTAAACAAAACACTTTTTTACTTCCTTTTTGTCAATGGGCTGTAGCTAAAAAAAAGTGTTAAAGCACTATTCTGTTTTTACAAAACACAAACTTCAACATAAACTCCAGTAAGATAAAAACCAACAAAGTTTTATGCTGAAGCACATCATGCCAAAGGAGAATCAGATGATGTCGAGTGAAAACAACATCAGATAGGCTGGTATGAGCTCATCGGCTAATGCCAGTTGCTAACGTTATCCTGTGCAAAATACAGTTGTAACGTTATGCTTTCCACATTACGTCACCAGCTAACACAAACCATACTATATACTATAGTATGTACCACCGGTATTATGTCAAAGTGTTAATTTTAGCCTGCAAGAAATTATGTGATGGTACAAAGCAAATGTAGAACGATTTGTTTAAATTAGCCTGATGCAAGGCAGGGCAGCCAGCACATCACGACATCAGCATGGATCAACTACTGTTTGATTTGCAGCGTCACGCAACTTTTCTAAATTCTTCCCTTTCCTGGAGAAAAGAAAGGTCAGGTCGCAAACAGCTTTTGAAGCATAATTGTAGCTACATATGATGATAATAATGATTATTATTATTATTATTATAACAAACATGCCTGATACTTTCACAATCAGCCCCAGGCCTACATGCATTCAGCTATTACTGATTCAGCAGTAAGATTTACAGCCTGTCTCCTAGAAAATACATTTATACACTGTACTACTAATCACTGCCTGAACTAGGTTTAGTGGCATCAGTTAACACACTCAAGATGTGGGGACGTGGCCAGGGTGGATGGCGGATGTACAAAGTGTAGGACTTTGATACTGAAGACTGACATTAGCACATGTGGGACCAAGTCCTCATTTTACAAGTCTCAAGTTGAGTCTGAAGTCCTAAACTTTGAGTTTTGAGTCATAAATAAACACATCCATATGCCAATATTCACTCAAAGTCATAGCGCCACTTGCTGACAACAGGGAATGACACATTTTACGCTGTAATGTACTACTCCTAGTAGGTTGGACATATCAACTTCAGAACTGTCCCAGAAAGGCCTAACATATTGATGAAGCCATGTTGTAAAACTTGTGAGTTTGCAGTTAATGGCTGGGGGGGTGTTCCACTCTTCGCCATGACACAGGAAGTTGTTGTAACTTGACTGTACATGCTCAGATCTGTACCAGATTTTACACATTTAATAAGAGTCCCGCCCTGAACACATGTACATGCTGACATTTACCCACAGACATGGCGCCACCTGGTGGCAACAGGAAGTGACCTTTAACCAAGCAGCCCCCACCGCATGTTTCACCTACATGTATGAAATTTCTGTGGCACATGTATCATGTCCAGACATACCAAAAAGCCTCTTGGAGCGATGCCCTGAATCCAACAGGAAGTCGGCCGTTTTGAATTTTATGGTCGTTTTTGGATGATTTACACACTCCGCTTCACACCTCGATGCACTACACGTGTGAGGGCCCGCCCAACGCTGCTTGCAACTTTAATTATTATTATTGGTATTAATCTTATTTATTTTATTACTATATGTAGCCATTTTGTTACAATTACGCTTCATGCAACAGCTGCGGTAGTCTACACTGTTTCGACCTGACCTTTCTTTTCTCCATGAGATTGTGGAATTTTGAAAGTTATGTGACGCTGCGGAGAGCCCTCAGCTGTTGTGCATGGATTATGCGTAACATTGTTCACAGCACGTCAATCATATTACACGTCCCATTGTAGTTCCCATTGGGGTGCTGGGGAGTACAGGGCCAGGGAGAGGAAACCGCAGAGCGGCAGGTTGTTCCCTTTGGCTGGAGGAAGCCAGACGCTCCTGATTTTAAACATCCATGCGATGCAGAAATATAGAAAATAATGGCAAAAAAGCATACTGTCAATATTTTAGAGAGTGCATGTCTTATTATGAGGAGCTTTGCTCCCCCATAGTTTGCACCCTGGGTGGTAGCCAAAGTTGTAATTGAGATTAAAATTGAATTAATAGTACAGTGCTATGTTGATGAGCTGCACAGTTTTTTTATATCATAATTTATATTTGGGCATGGGGAGTGTCAAGTCAGCTCGAGTCAAAAGGCTCAAGTCTAAGTGAAGTCATGAGTCATTGACGTTAAAGTCAAAGTTGAGTTGCAAGTCAAGTCTGACTCTAGTCCACACTGTCAATTTTACTTTAACCAAGACCATCATCTTTCTCTGACCTCAACCTAAGGAATCTGTCAGCAAATTAATATGCAAATTGTTTTTGGCATGCAATGTATCAACCAGCCATTACATCAAACTAAATTTCAAGTTTGTTTTTGTCCATCCTTTTCCTGTCTGTGTTGGTTGAGAAGTAACAAATTAAGAGACTAAACTATATCTGTAAACTTAAAAGCTCATTGTGTCACCTTTGATATACTATGTTCTCTCCACACTCTATGTCCAGTGTCGTCAAGTCTACAGGCATGCTTTCAAAACACAACACAATGACACATCTTATTTCCTCACCCATGCAACTTCCAATGCAGTGCCCCTGTGAAATATATTGGAGTTGTCCCAATGGAAAAATTGTCGACACCCCAGATGGAGTTATTCCTTCTGGACCAGTCTGAGTAGCAAGGCTCAAGTGGCAGTACTGGTGCCATCCCTGTGTCTAGAGGGGGTGTTTTTGGCATAGCTGAATTGGCCACCTTTGATCCTATTGATAAGAGAGAGAGAGTGGGAGTCAGGGCTGCACAGCTGAAGGCCTTGGAGCGCCTTTTGTTAGTCCTGTACTGGAAGAGAAAACAACAGAAGCCTTGACCTCTTTCTATGTCTGCCTCTCACTGACACTACCACTCTGTCTCACATTCTCACTCTGATTCTAAGATTCTTCCTATTTTTGTTTTACTGGTGCTTACTTTCAAAACTGTAACTTAAACTTGTGCTGTGCAAATCAGTGTTGATTTTCAAAGTGACAGTATGGCAATTCCTGCTTGTTTTAAATATAATTCTCCACTTCAAATGACAGCTTCTCAGTCTTCAAAACCTCCAAACGTTTTTGTCACTCTACTATCATTCTGACCCGACCCTGGCCAGAAGGTCATGAGTATAAACTTAGCTATCTGAAATTCAAGATTTAAATCTGAATTCACACCTCATCACTTATTCCTTCTTACCATACCCTGTTTTAACACCATGCTCCTCTCATTTCTTCTCCACTTCCCTGTTATCACTTGTTCCAATCTTTTGCCAGGTACAAAGAAGTTTGATGCCTGCAACCACGTCCGAGCCTACCAGTACTACAGCGAGAGTGTGGTCAAACCCCAAGGCTTTGTAGCATTCCCCTGCTCTGACAAGGACAGTTTTGCTGCTGTAAGTCTTTGGTTCAACTAAGAGCGTTAAAGTTAGTGCCTGCCCAAGCAAACAAAATGAGACATTGCACATTCTACAAACTTAAATATCAACTTTGGTTGATGCATGTTAAAGTCTTTTTAAATAATTAATTAGTTATTAGTTGACCTGGAATATTTAGCCATTATAGGATCACACATAAACAGTGTTCAATGTTTAATTTCTAAGTGGTTGTCTTAAAGGGGCTATATGTAGTTTTTCAATGAAATTACTTATTAATAATTTACTTTTTTACCGACTTTTTGTCGGTCAATAATGCAAGATGGGCACAGGACAACACAGGGGCGGCTGTGGCTTAGGAGTGAGAGCGGGTTGGCAGTTAATCGCTTGTTGAGCACTTAGGCTCAGTGTATGACTGGTGAATGCAGATGTAGTGTAAAAGCGCTTTGAGTGGTCGAAAAGACTAGAAAGGCGCTATACAAGTACGGAGCATTTACAACAACACAGTGGAAGAACTAATGTTTTTCACTACAGTAACCTTACTTACTGTGGTCTAACTTATAAACCACTATTGGCCGCTGAAAACTACATATTACCCCTTTAAACATTGATTTCTCTTTTACATTTTACTTTGACCTTATCTGTCATATGTCATTTCCATTCAAGCCGTCGCCAAGCTCATTAAGCTTATCAGTGGCATGTAAATCTCTGTGTATTAGCAGTATACCAGAGTATTCAAATCTGGAGTCTGTTGCAATATTACCGCGCTAGCGAACTGGTAGTGTTGTGTTTCATGCCACCCGGCAATGATTTGTTTGCCAGAGCTGAAGGGGCAGAGACTGTAGTGACAGCAGCAGCTCAGTGTGGCAGAGCCTTTACGTCATAATCACGTCCACAGTGTTGTGTAATCACTCTTGCTGTCAGAAGGGGGAGACAAATTAAATAAAAGTAGCAGTACCAAAATGTAAATACACTATTACAAGTTAAAGTCCTGTATTAAAAATCCTACTTTATATATAACTTTGTAATGTTGTAACTGGTTGAAGTGGAACTAATTTTTTTTTTAAATCTAGATTTATAACAATGCACCAAAATTTATATGTTGAACTCTTTATCTGCCAATTAACTAGTTGCCTAACTCGATCTGTCAGATGTGTGTAAAAGGCCTGGTCGGACCAGAAAGTGGCTCAGGGAAATTCATTTGTGTGCCGTTGTGGTGATGTAGCGACTACATGCAGGGCTAGTTGGAGAGCTACTGTGTCTGGCAAGCTAACTAGCTAACATAGCTAGCAAGCCAAGTTGCTTGCTTGCTAACTGGCTCGGTTGGTTAATTTATTTAATTAGTATGTATGTATTTTTACAGTCGACTCCTGTCTCACGACTGACTTCAAACCATGCCACCTCATACTCCAATAGAACAAGATTACATACAATTGGATGGTGCAACACAGCTAATATGAAAGCTTCTCAGCAGATAGAAAGATAGTTTGCAATTGGTCAAAAGCATGTAAAAGTTCGCCATAGTTAAGCTCTATGTGAAAGATCCACTTTAAAAAGTGACTCAAGACTATCAGATCTGGGCTGGAGAAGAAGAAGGGGCACATATCTCCACTATCTGAGCATGTGAATGGGACTGCCACCTGTTGCTGTATGACACTGATATGGCTGTGAACCATTTCTTTTGTTTTAGTAGTCGATTTGGCAAGATTGGATTTTTGTTGCAATGTATATAGGCTTCCCTCATGTCTTCCATGGGCACAGCTTGTATCTGCAGCTGTTGGTGTGTTTATCCCTGCTCTGGACACATGTCCAGATCAAAGGACGCCCGGGAGCGCAGAGTATGACCTCATATGACTATCTGTTGAGAGATTACAACACCTCCTTGTCGTTCACCTCGTAAAAGCTCCCTAGTGTTATTCCTGCAGCCATAGATGACAGCCACAAAGTCAAACTTTTCCCACACAGTAACATATTGCAAAACCAACCCCAGTCTCCATCTTCATATTAATAAGATGGCAATCTGTCATATTTTATATAAGTATAGGGAAAATGTCTTTTAGGAGTCACATTGCCCTGACTATTGACAGGAGAACTAACACTCCATAACAGGGTGAGCTCATTCTTCACACTTCACTGTGTCCTTGTCTTCACAGGGAAAGTGTTTTCCATGTGCAGACAACAAATGTCCTCTGATGGGCCACCAGGCTGACAAGTTCACTGTGACTGATGGCATTTTGATGACGAAGTACTTCCTCAACACAGGCAGTTCAAAGTCCTTTAGCCGTAAGTATACTGCCCTTCCTGTTCTGAAAGAAAATAAAAGTGTGACTTACAAAGGTTGTAGGACATGTTTTATATATATATATATATATATATATATAGAAAGAGAATTTATTATGGCATGGAGAGTTCATAGAAAGACATTTAACAGTGAGCTCAGGAAAATGAAGCCATACTGGGATATACTGGCTCATAATAAGCATAAAGAATGTTCTGTACATTTAAAAAGACTTCTGTGAGCACTTCAAAGGCCTGGCGGATATTGAACCCCAAAGGGATGACTAAAATTGCTACTGGGGCATTACATGCTGATTCCACAGAGGAGGAAATCTCAAAAGGTATAGCGAGCCTCAAGAGTGGTAAGGCTGCTGGTGTAGATAAAGTCTTGAATGAATACATTAAGAATCCAGCTTGTATCTTCTTACCAGCTTATGCTAAATTGTTCAACATGATCCTGAGTTCTGGGATAATCCTTGACCTTTTTCCAGTCTATAAGAGGAATGGTGATACAGAGTAATACAGAGCAATAACTAGTGGGGTATTATGTCTGTGATGATTCTCTGTCATCCAGGTCATTGTTATCCAAGAAAGGTTGAAATCAAGGGCATCTGTGGCCTGTACTACGAAGCGAGGTAACTGGTTTATCCAGGTATCCAGGTTGTACAAGATTTGTAAAGATAATTTTGGAAAATAGTGTACTCCACGATGTAGTTTTGCTTTAAGTAAAGGAGCCTGTTATTTATTTATTCATTTAGCTTACATTTTATCCATATATATATATATATATATATGTATATATTTATATATATTTTTATTGTGGCCAGCCTAAGGCACACCTGTGCAATCCCCATGCTGTCTGATCAGAATCTTAATATGCCACACCTGTGAGGTGGATGGATTATCTCAGCAAAGAAGAAGTGCTCACTAACACAGATTTTGACAGATTTGTGAACAATATTTGAGAGAAATAGGCCTTTTGTGTACATAGAGAAAGTCTTAGATCTTTGAGTATATATATATATATGTCAGAGGTCACACACCTCAGGAGCAACTATGGGTAAAGTGTTTTGATCAGACCTGAAAGAATCTTTGTAGTAAGTAACAAACTAAAGATCACATACTTTCAGTATACGAATATTGTGAAAATAAAATACACTTATCATTTTAATGCAGAAACTATCTTTAAATATTGTATTTTACACTGAGAATAAAGGGAATGTCCGCCAGAATAGGCCAAAAAAACATGGCATCTCACAGTTTTAGAGCCATAATTGTGAAACTAGTTTATTTTGTGCTGAGATAATGCAGGGTAGGCAGGAGAATGAAAGAGCTTAGTTCAATGTCAGCTTGCATTATGTTGTAGATTCTCAAGGTTTTCACCTACAACAATTTGTAGAAAGGTAGACTGGAAGATATTTCCTCTCTGTGTTCTTTGATAATCCTCAATCATGGAAGATTGTGCATCTATCAAGATCTTATAATGTGATGCTATGGTGAAATAGTGTTACTGCTTACTATTTCTTGCAACTTCTAGGTTACAGCTACAAAGTGACGGTAACCCTGAATGGTCCCAGCTGGCCTAACCCAGGCTTCATGTATGTAGCATTCGTTGGAGACAAAGACAGCACCAAGGAGTACAAGATATATGAGTAAGAACATTATAATATTGTCCTGTAGAACACACCATGGGGTTTTAGTCTATGTGACATTACTGACTGAGGGAAAGTTGCAGAAGAGGACCTGCCTCCTTGTGCTTTTCCTTGGTGATGTTACTCCCTGCTCCCTTAATGACAGATCTGGTCAGTAACAGATCCTTTGACTCTTCAGCCAATGGACTGGCTACCTTTCATCTCCTCTTTTACAGTATCTCTGCATGATGTGCCACGAGCGGAGGCATTTTTAAACTGCAGTTTCACTAACAGCCACCAGATGGTTCCTCCACGCTGTGTGGGAGGGAGCAGCTGAATGACAAAGGGCTCTAATATGTGGCTTACTTCGTATGTTTACAGAAACAGAGTTACTGCATAGTATGTGTATATAGTAACTAAATAAAGTACAAAGTCTTTAGAGGACACTTATTGCAAGAGGTATTATATTACTGCAAGACATCACCACCCAACTCTGTTACAGTAATGGAGCTACGACTGCACTGTCAGAGCCATTAAAGGAGACAGATTGCATTGCTACATTTTGTGAAGTGTGCTTTGAGTTTGATCTGCTGTGACATTTCTCCAGGGGTATACTGAGGCCTGGAAGGAACTATGAGCGGCTGATTGATGCTGAGGTGGACATGGGTGATGTGACAGAGGTGAAGTTTCGTTGGAACAACCACATCTTGAACCCGCTGAGACCCAAGTACGGTGCATCCAAAGTGAAGCTGCAGAGAGGAAAAGACAAGAAGATGTAAGTTTGTCTTTTCTGTAAAGACAACCGTGACAGACACCTAATGTGAGATGCAAGTGTTAAACATCCACCATTTTCTTCAAGACATTTGGTGGGTATAAGGAAACAGCTGACAGCTGAATTTATTTACAATTATGTAAGAAAATGTATTATTTGTCTTTCATTTGCTTTCAAGCTGATGCTAAATTAAGTGGATACTGTTAATTTGTAAG